TGTAATATTATTAATATTATATGATTTAATTAAACAGTTCCAAAAGAACAGAAAAAATTTCTTAATCATGATTGTTAATCCAATTATGATTATTATCATATCTGATTCCATTGAGAGATGTCAACCTTAACAAACGATAAAATGTTAATTCAATGTGTATTCTGTATATTTATCTACCTCAGCATCAACCCTGAACAGGGTGGGACAGGAAAAGGTAAGAATCTTCAAAGTCAACATTAATCTGAATCAACAATGAACATTTAACAGTTAAATGAATCATGTTATTATTAACCTTTTTGAGCAAATTTGGATAATTATCTTAATCAGATGAGAATTGGTAATATTATCATGAAGGTAATCATGTGTATTATTATTCCGAGAGTTTAAAGAGGGAAAAAAATTTAATCAGGATTTTTTTTTGTTTCAAAAGATAATTTCATCCTATCTGAGGATGATTATCATGATGATAAAGGATGAAGATAAGGTTGAAAGTAGATGAAGATGAAAGATGATGGGATGTTGAAGATAAATGATTAATGTAATGATAACAAAAAGAGCAGGTTACTTTTCACTCCCTGAACTTTTCTGATTATTCTGAGACATGATTATCATGAATTTTGATCGTAAGGATAAAAACAAAAAAAAGTTTCACGATAAACAGGGTGAAAACTCTGGATTCTTTCATGATGAACATTTTTCATTATTCTTATTAAACTGTCTTGATTGTTGATCATTTATCATTCATCTTTTAAGTGGTTAGGATTAAATTAGAAGTGAAAAATATTGTTTCCAATTTACTTTTTTCTTCTTTGCTTCTCAGTTGATTATTTAACGATCAGCAGTTTAAAAGCTAAATGTCCTTTTGTAATATCATGAATTGATCATGAGTTTATCGTGTAATTATCATGAACAAAGTGAGGGTAGAAAAACTTTCGCTTCAATGAGATTACTGAGATTGTATTGATGACAATTGGGAGTAAATGTATTAGATGAGGGAGGTTACAAGTTTAGGAGAAAAGTAAAAGCCCTCAAGTAAAAGTTAATTAGATGATCAAGGAAAAGAATTGAGGGAAAAAGTTGAGAAGAAGATGAATGAGTATTTATATGGAAAATTTTGAATCAATTCTGATTCTCGGGGGGTAAAGCTGATGGGAGGAAAGGGTAGAGGTTGAGGTGGAAGAAGGTGAATTATATTGACTGGAAGGAAGAAACAAGTTCATCAATTCTTATGGATTCTGTTTAAAGAGTAAATGATGAATTTCTATTGTGTGTTCATTCATTGTGTTCGATTCGTTTTATTACTGTAAATGTATAAATTTGAACTTTCGTTGAACTCACGAATTTCTCTCTCTCTCTCTCTCTCTCTCTCTCTCTCTCTCTCTCTCTCTCTCTCTCTCTCTCTCTCTCTCTCTCTCTCTCTCTCTCTCTCTCTCTCTCTATGTCTTTTATCAAAAACTCGACTCGTGAATTGAAACATTCAGTTCAAAAGTTTATTAGGTTTACGGTTGGTTTGATTTTAGTTCAGTAGACGAAGAGGGAATTTTTTTCTCTCTTCAAGTTGAGAGACTTGAGATTCAGTTGTAACATTGAGATGGTAAGAAAAAGATTCGAACACGAAATAATCATTTAAGAGGATGAGCAACAATCACCATGAGTTGTTCAGTACAATTGACAAGTAACTTAGAAACAATAACCTAACATTTAAGGAACTTTGGTTTCTTATGTTATGTATATATCTATGGTTTGTTGAGTTTTTTGTTTGTTTCTCTATTATCATCATGAAGATGACAATTTGCTAACAGAACCATGATTTTATCATGATGCTTGGGTTAATTTTGGAAATACTGTTTTCAAACTGTTGGAACTAACGAAAAGGTCAGTTAAATGTTCAATGATTTCATTGGTTTAGGGTAAAAAACATGAGAAAAGTAAGATTTTATCATCCATATAAAGACAGGGTGGGTCAGGGTAATAGGAAGAAGGTGGTGTTGGTATTTAGGGTGGAAAGTTGATTGCTAAGAGGAGATGAATAAAGATGAAAAATGAGGAAGAGTAATGAAAGAAAGGGACTAGTTGGTTCCAGGGAGGAAATGGAAATGGAAGATAAAGACAAAGCCAAAGACAAAAATGATGATGAAGATGAAGATGAGGATGAAGAGAAGAGAAAAATAAGGATAAAGGTGGAAGATTTTTCAAGGTCCAGTTTTTGTCAAACTGGACTTTAGCCCCTTCTTTGGTGCAATCCATCATTTAGCTGTGAGTCTTTCATGGAAAATGAGTTGATGAGTAGGGAAGAGAAGATGATTAGAAAGAGAAGGAGGAAAAGAGGGATAAACAGGATGAAAATAAAGTAGGAAGATGAGAACGTGAAAAGATTATTGGAATATCCTTAGAGAAGGATAAGAATCCACAATTCTGGAGTTTGTCCTGAGCTTTTTCAAGAATGAAACGTGAACAAGATAAGGGAGAAGAGGAAAATAAAACTCCAACTGTGAAAAGCAAATAAATGTTACGCCAATGATAATGATATCATATACATCTTATGGTATTACTCAGATATTATCATGATGCTAGATTCTCACATTGTGAATATACTGTTTCTATTCCTGAGTATTAAAATATTCTGGTAAAAAAAGGAGAGAGAGAGAGAGGAAGAAGTTGAAATAAGAAAAATGAACTTGATGGGAAAAGAGGAAAAGTGAAAAATTATCGATTCAGATGAAATCTTCAGGATGGGTGGAAACTTCAGTGTTCAAGTTATTCCTTAGATGAAGATGAGATAACTCGAGTATCTTTAAAATAATTGAATCTAAACTTTAAGATGAAAGTTTATTTTCTTAAAGCTCCATGAATTCATCATGAAAGTTTCAATTTAATTGTTTCTCTCATATGATAAGGATAACAAAAAGCAGGCAAATTTTTACTTATTTCAAGTTTCTCAAAGTCCAGAATTTCAGAGAAACATCAATACAATTTGATTGTTGGAGATAATTGTTTTCATTGTTTAAACAATACGTTAACTAGATTAACTATCGGGTTAACTATTGATCATTAATCTAAAGGGAATTGAGGGAATTTCAAATTGAACACCGATAACCTGATTATCAGATTAATAGGAGGCGGAGGTTTCAGAGAGATGGATAGTTGTATAAAGGAAGAAGAGGTCAAAAGTTTAACCAGAAAAATTGAGAGAGAAAAAAGTTCGAAAATCTCATGATCATCATCAACTGATTATCGTATTTCAAAGTGAAATTTATTGTAACTATTTACTACAATTAAGGTCAACAATTCGTTCAAAGTTGTTCGTTCAAAATCTTTATAGCAAAAGGAAATAGCTTTTTGATTGATTGGTGAATATAACTTGAAATTGTTAGATTAAAAGTTCTGAAATGTCAATAAGAAAGTAAATAGAATGGAATCGAAAAGATTTTTTTCCTTCTCCATCATGAACTTGAAATGGATTATCTGTTTTTCTCTGAATTTGAAGAGTCCCAATGAAATAAGATGTTGTACATTTGGAAGATACAATTGACAAGATTACTTTTCATGTCAAATCATTTGAATACAAACATGACTCTTTCATGGTTCCCTGAGTTTACCATGTTACCATGATTCTAACAATATTCTAAGTATGAATTTTTATTCCTTTCATATTGGCTAGATATTATTTTCTGTATTCTCTTTTCCATGAAAATTATACTTATATATTATATGATTGTGTCTTTTGAAATATGAGAGATGTACTTTGGTTATTGAAAGAAAAACATTGATTTGAATGAACTTTTTTTCCGGATGAAACATTTACATGGGAAAAAGAGTAACAGTTAAAGGGGTAATTGGATCGAAATGGATTGTGATTAGATGAATGAATCGATCATATTAAGATTAATCATATTACATGGAGAATAAGGTGTGAGATGGAATAATTTTGGTAAATTATGTATCCAAGTTTGAAATTATCGAATGACATTTATTTGTGATCTAATCTGATTCGTTTGACATTTTGAACAAATGCTTCTTTCTGTTGATCATCATGAAACATGAATCTTATGATATTCTGATTATTCTGAATCATTTAATTGGAACTGAATCTTATCCAATATGTTAGTACATCTCGTTTACTTTTTTTCTTCTCTCTCGTCATCATCTTCATGTCAATAAGCCAAAAAACTGGTCAAAGATGAAAAGAAAATCCCTTGACCTTAAAGGTTATCAATCATCTTTTGAATGAAAAGCATCTCATCAAGAAGATAATCACCTGATCTTTGAGAATGAGATCATTGAGAACTTTGAGAAAAGGAAAAAAATCCCGAATTTAACTAGAACTTTTTTCCCTTTTCTCTCTCTCTTTCTTTCTTTCTTTCTTTCGTAGTTTTCGAGAAATTGATATAATCGAATTACCAATTACTATTATCATGGGAACTCGAACCAATGCCAATTAAGTCTCTTCACACAATCAAATTTAATCTACAATCAAATGATCAATGACCCTTCAATCAATTCGCTGATCGAAAGTTTTTATCATAGAAAAAAAATTTTTTCGATTTTTTTGTCTTCTCATCGATTTTAATTCTCTTGCATTTGGAAATGTAATTTTGATTGTAATTAGAAATTAAACTTGCTAATAATTAACTAATTTGTAATTCAATTGTTTACTAAACCTTTTCTGATCAAAAATCGATCATACTAAATTTGTCTATTGGCTGATTGTTGTTAAGTTATTGGTTAGAATTACAATTAACTGTTTAATATAAATTCATGAGCAAAGTTATTGAATAAATTGTTTGATGTGATCATTATGATTCAGCGATATGTGAATCCATGATTCTTATACATGATTATCTTATCATGAACTGAATTAAGATCCAAAATTGAGAAGGTCAAAAGTGAATTAGTATTAATAGAATTGCGATTGATTAACTTTTATCAGATTAACGTTAGAATGAGATGAGATCGTTTGAGAAACGATAATAATGATAATCAAAAGGTTGAGATGGCAATTGTTTTGTTTTTAATAATAAGAACTTTTTATTTCATGAAATCAGTTGAATCGTTTGATTTGAAGTTTATCAGGACAAAACTATTATCATGATTGTTGTCAGAATGATAATAATACACCAAGAACGATAGAGATGGAGAAACCTGTCAATGGGAAACATTTCGAAGTGAATTAACTGTCCATCAAAATGATTAACCATCGTTTCTTTACAGGATAAAATTTGATTGGGTTCATGGTAGAAAATAATCAGAAAAGTTCCATTCGTTTTCATCAATGAATTTGAATTTGAACTTATATCATGAGTCATTGTTTCTTCATCGCAAGTTTACATCTTACGGCTTTTAATTTCTAAGCTTTTATCACCATAAAGATCATCTTAGAAATCGAGAAGAATAAGAACTTTTTTTGGCAATCTTTCAATTTGGAATAAAAGAGAAAATTTTGATTCTCTTTTTTCCATCATTCATCATGATTTTTCCTCATCCATAATCATCATTATCATGATAATTCTGGCTAGAAGTGCACAGAGCCGGCATCAAGTGTGTAAATCTTTTTTTTTATATACCTTTTGTATTGAAAGAGGAGAAACATCAACAGTATCAGAACTTCAAGGTTACATTTTCAGGGTTGTTAATTGATATTGGAAGGATAAAGAAATTTTAACAGGGAGAGATATCCTGAAGTTTGATTTATCTGTAAAATACACAGAATTTTCAATATCATCTTTGAATCATTATGCAAGGTGTATGTGTGTATGTGTGTATGTTTGTTTTGTTTGTCTTAAAGGGCTTTTGACCAGTTCTTTTCCGTCTTCTCTCTTGTTCCATCATAAAAATCTCGAGGCGAGTTGGGAACAGATCATTGCAATTTCTTCAGCTTCACTTTTCTTAATGTTGCTTTGTACATCTGATGAGTAAGAGTCACCTGGATAAGGTTCATTCCGTTGAAATTGCGAAACGACAATCTGACCATTACCATTCAACAATTTTTTCATAAATTGAAAATATTCTGGACTATATTGATTTTTCATGTGCATAAACTTAATATTTTGTCTTTGGACACTTTTTTCAATTGCTGCTGGCATTTTGATTTTATTCTGATAAGATCCGTTATCGGTAAAGGTTAATTCACTTAAACGAAGAGCCATCTCACTTTCTTGAGTATCCATACGACGATAAAATAAAATATATGCATTCCACCAACGCTTTTGTCGTCTATATGACATCCTTTTCCACATATGATCAAATCCTTCGCCCATGTAGTAACCTCCAAAACATTGGACCTTCATTTCTTCATCATCATCCAATTTACATTCTGATACATCACCGTCATCAAATCTGTACCATTTACGTGAACCATCAATATTTTATGCTGGCTAACTGTGACAAGATGAAGATCCAGGTGAACTTGTGTATTCCAAATCCTCTTCGATAATTTCACCTTCAATTTTAGCTAAACCGTTAACAGTATAAGCATCCATATCCAAAACTCGAGGGAATTCAAAATAATCGTTAAATTTGATGGCACAGGAACGTTCAAAATCATAATCAAAACGTTTCAATTGAATTGCTAAAACTGGTGGTAGCTTTTTGATACACAATCGTTTAACAGTTTCAACTTTACGATTACATTTTTCACAATGATAAGCATTAGCACCTTCCAATAAATCACCTTTAACATATTGTTCCAATGAATCTAATAGATTACTATGATTTCTTATGTCGATGTTTAAAGTTGTAAAAGGTTCTTCACGAGAGTATCTAAGAAAAAGAAAGTTAAATGAAGAGAAAATTAGTTAATTAGTGTTCAATTGTTAAATTAAATTTTCTCATTAACGTACCTATGCGGACATTCCTTGCAAATCTTTTGATCGGCGAAAGATCCACCGAAAATTTTGGTCATGATTGGAGAACAGCCCAACAATTTGAGAGCTTCATCAATAGAATCGACTAAACTATTGAAAAATTCAAGGGCATCATGTTGCTCACGTAAATTGACTGGTTCACCCCAAAGTCTATGGATGTTAATTGTGTAGCAAAAAAAAGAAATTACGTTAATTATATAAATTTTTATAGTTCAAAATTACGGAAAATTATGAGTATCATTGTGCGATGCTTACTTGAAATGCCTCCAAAAGCCTCTCGGTACATAATACTGAAGCTTGGACAGAGCCAAATGTCCAAAAATTGCTTGGGTATATTTGAAAACTCCTAGATTATAATCACGTCGAGATTCATAGACGGACCGTTTTGAATCATCTTCAGGGACACTGGGATATAAGGTGCTGATAATATTATCCACCATTTCCTCTGAGAAATCTTCATTTAAATCAGTTGCAGCTCCTTCGACTGATAAAATACCATCTCTAACCTCGGGTATCATGTAAAGCTGTTGAAAGACTGAGTTCATATAACAAGTTGCTCCTGCATTTTTTAAACCAACAAAACCACGAGATGGTCGAGGCCCAATAGGAGGTTGATATTCCCATTCAGTAAGATGTTGTTCATTGTCTGAATAGAACATCTCATTGAGATTATCAACTAAATATTTTAAATTTGGTATACAATCAGTACCCAAAGCTACAAGGCAATCGTAAGCCGCATTAAGGGTGGCTGAAGTGGTGCATATTGGATTAACTTCTTCAATATTGAGATTACTTTGATCAAAAGTTGAGGAGCTTGGTATGGATGTTAATGATGATGAGGGAGTTACAGTGATCACATCGTTTTTTGTAGAGTCAGATGGTGGAGATTGTTGAGTTTGAGACTGTGATTGTGCATGTTGAATTGGTTGCTGTTGTTGTAATTGATTCTGAGGTTGAGGTTGAGACTGAGGCTGAAGTTGAGGCTGAGGCTGAGGCTGGAGCTGAAGTAAGGGCAAAGATTGGGGCTGTAACTGTTGTTGGATTGGTTGGGATGGTTGTGATTGTGATTGTGTCTGGGGCTGGAATTGAGGTAGCGGTAGAGATTGGGATTGGGACTGAGACTGTTGTGATTGCTGTTGGGATGGTTGTAGCTGTAATTGAGTTTGTGGCTGAAGCTCAGGCAAGGGTAGTGATTGAGACTGTTGTGATTGTTGTGACTGTTGTTGCTGGGATGGTGGAGGTTGAGATGCTCGTTGCAAAATGACCATTGCTCTTGATGCAGTGAAAATATATTCATCAATTAGAACACGAATTAAATCTTTCTTTCCTGATTGTTGTTGACTTGGATCATCAGATACTCTAATTAAATCGTATACTTCATTTTTCGCAATCGTTTTAAGCAAGTAAATTAGCTCTCTGGTTATACTTAGATGGCCTTCCAGTAACTTTTCCTCAATAACCCCATTTCGGACTAGGTATTGCTGTATGAATAAAAAACAAAAAGAGAAATTAATTAGAAACTATTATTATATTCTAAATATTAATCAAAACTTACCTTGACATTACTAAGAAGATAAATTTCATTTTCGAGGAACTGTTGAGCTATAGGAAGTGGACACCGGATACATCGAGCATTATTTAACAATTTACAAAATAAATGGAAAAACTCTTCTGAAGTATTGTAATGTCCATTCACGGAGACGGTTGAACTTAGATGATGATGTAGTAAATTGATGAAGTTAATCAACACTTCATTGCTAAGTGCACATTTGGTAGCAATTAAAGAAAATTGTTCACTGGCTGTTAATCTTATTGATCTGCAGAAGAAAAAAAAACAATTTTAATAATTTAATCTAAAACTAACCAATGGTAATTTAAAGGTTTTACCTTTCACGGCAAATTAATAAAACGTCGATAACAAAACGATGCCAAACACTATCTCTAATGAGTTGATCTAAAGTCCATGGTGATATCATAAACATAAGTGTCAGAATATTTAAACCAAGTTTACAAACAGTATAAACAGGAGAGTCGGGACGATGAAGATTACCAGTGACGACAAGTCGATGAAGCACTTCAATATCTTCATGAAGAGCAGCTTCTTCACCAGTTACCGTTGCCCAGCAAAGCATCATTAGTGAACCAACTGAGTTAAGATCGGGTAAACTTGAGATAACACGAGATCGAAACACTTCATCATCGTTATCAACAAGTTTTTGAGCTGTTTGTATGGCAATTTCTCTAACCATACCAGCGCTTAATGGATGAGGAATTATTTCAAGTGCTGTCCGAAGATTTATCAAATAGTCATCAACATTTTTTAAACTTGTAATGTTGGGTAGTGTTGATGCTAATGAAGATGGAGTAGATGAATTTAATATCAGATAATGGCCTAGGCAGGTTAGCACTAGTCCACTTATCCGTAACACAGTTTGATAGACTAAGCTGTAAAGTTGATTAGAAAAAAAGGAAAAAAAAAAGAAAATTAGTTTCGAAAGTGATGGAAAACTAGTGACAACTTTGACCTACATTTTAGCGTAATCAGCAGCAGTAGATACAAAATTGTTACGCGTTAGTAATTCGACAACTTTGAAACCGCAGCCACTTTTTATGAAATCATAATGAAACATTCGCGCCTCTTCTGAGAGTGGATTTCTTGAGGGCATAAGTAAAGCATAAATAACGCCAAGACTATAAAGTATTCGGGTGGGTGATGATCCATAAAATAATTCGTCGAATTCAGCGCCAAAATCAGTATCATTTACATTTTCTGCACATTTTTTACAAAGAGTTTTAAGATTTTCGACTATAGTCACGTCAGGAGGTATTATGGTTAATATCAAGGGAGCAGTATCACACAGAGATTCATGCCGAAGCGACATCCCAAGATCAAGCAGTTGCAAGAAAAAATTAACATATTTATGTTCCTTTGACAGAATCTGAGAAAAATAAAGAAAAATAAAATATTAAAATAAAATAAACAGAAAATGTAATATAACAAAGTACTTACCACTCCTGGTAGGGAGTTTTCTGCCTCTAAACTTGGACCCTCAAAATTGTTACCTGGCGAACCGGAAGAGCTGTCAGAGGAGGAATCAGGAGATGTGGGAGCATTCAGAGAGGATTGATATAGCTTAGCATTCAATACCTAAAAGTGAAATAAGAGAGAGAGAGAAAGATAGATAAAATCAGAATCAGAACTTGTATAAAATGAATAGTTTAAACATCTTGGTGTTAATTTACATTAACCATAAGATTTTCAGACACTGATTATGATTGTAAGTTAAATGAACATACCACTTCATCACGATCAGGTAATTCTGTAATTAGTTTATCTTCACGATTAGCATCATTTTTAGTATTTTCATCACAGAGGAATAAATCGACGTCCATGTTCATATTATTTGCTTTGATCCTGAGAAATTGGAGATGAGGAAAGAAGAAAAGAGAGAGAGAAAATTAAATTGTTATCTTAATTTAAACAATTCGGAAAGGGTGTGTTTGTAAATGAGTAATAAAAAATGACGTTACATTGATAAAATTTGTTTCTTAATAGTTGATATATATTCATTTCGATGTGTCCATATTTGAATATCCTCTATATGTCTTGCTTGATTTGGAAAACGAACTGTCAATGAGACTTGTTCACCTCGAACCGCTTTAACCAAAGGAAGAATTGTTCGTTCATCACCAAAATCAGTATCACATTGGTGTAAATACTCATAAAGTAATCTTAAAACTCGTGACATTCGAGAAAGCTCATATTCCACTCTTGCTCCAGCTGATTCATCTTTACGAAGAATGGAAACAGTATCATAGGCAGCTTGTAATCTACCCATGCAGGAACTAATTAAATCATGATGAATATTTACTTGGTGTTGCTCTAAATTTGGACCAAGATTGGTATAAGTTTCTTTAAGCAAAGCAATACCCCAATTTGCTACTTCATCACTACAATTTAAAACGATCCTCCAAAGATAATCAAGACCAATAAGCTCCAAATCTTGGGTAAGAAGACAGTGTTTCTTTGCAATAAATTTACCTTCCTTAAGGTTAACTGCTTCAAAGAAACGATTAAAACATTCAATTCCACTTTCGGTGATTAAAATTGGATCCAATTTTAAAATATTATTTTCAAAGAAATCACGATTAATTTCAGGATCTAAATCTTGTTCTTCCGACATTAAAACGGAAAACCAACGGAAACAGGCTTCACGATCTTCATGGAAAATGGCATTTTCAGCTAAACATTGCCAAACTTGTTTCGCTTGGGGTGCACATAACCAAACTCGACCATCTTTAAGTAAAAATCTTAGAAAATTGAGCCTTTCGATAACTTCTTGCATATGTGAATACCTTTTACCCTCTGAAATTGTTTGCGCATTAACATCATTACCTTTCTTTTCAGCTAATTGTCGAACTTTTTTCATATATTTAGATAAATTTTCAGAGACTAAAACTACTAAGGAATGTTGACTATGTAATCTACCGATTACATCATGACGATAAACGACACCTCCATGAGTTTCTATTGTTGACGTTGTCTCTTGACGATATTTTTTGGTATTTGATAGAAAGGTAGGTCCATATGAGGGAATAACTTCACGTTGACAAAAGAAATCATCATATTGCCTAATTTTATCAGTCAATTTTAGTGGAAGCTTATGAAGATGAGAAGTATTCACTTCACTTGATTGATTAGTTGTTGCAGTTGTTGTTGTTGTTGTTGAAGATGATGATGGTGGTGATGTAGAGGTTTCGGTTGCTTTTGAGGTTGCAGATAAGGTTAATGTTGATGAAATGCTGGCTGTAGAGTTAGAAATTGATGTAACGAGTGGTGTTGTTGATGATGATGGTGAAGATAAAGTTGGTAGGGTTACCGAAGCTTGGACTGGATTAATTGACTTTGACAGAGGTTGAACGGGACAAGTGAAACTCTGGAAAGAAGAGGAAGATGAAGACTCTGGATATTTTTTATTATTTGGTGCAATGTTTTCCAATACCAATTGATCCAATGGGATGGTCATTGTTGCTTCTTCCATTTGAATGGTGCTACTTCTTTCAACCGGAGTAATAAATGGTATTGAAGGAGTTGGTGATTCTGATGGAGCCATTGAGGTTGATGTTAATGATACGGTGGCTGCAGTAGTTGAGGTTAAAGTTGTGGTTGATGATGATGATGATAACGATAAAATGGTTGTTACTGGTGTTGATATTGTTGTACCACATCCGGTTGACTGATAGGTTGGTTTGACAACAGGAGCCCATATAAGATTTGATTGAGTATCTGAGGCGGAAAAGTTGGATGGGGCTTCAGGTAAGAGACAGCAAATCTCTCGTATCAATTTCAATGCAGGTAAAACCCAATCATTATCCTCTTTTTTCAATTCTTCAACACATTTATCTAACCATTCAGTTTTTTGTGAATCTCGATCTTGACAACAACTATAATCTAATATTTTGACATGAGCAGCTAATGCTTGATCCATTATGTCAGTTGGAATATCCTCACTGTGCGCTAAATTCCAGAAAAGGTTTAACACTTTATTAGCCATGACACCATCTTTATCATCTTCAGCTAGACGACGAATCAGCTCAAGTAATTTTTCCCTTTGTTTTTTATTCGCTTTAGTCCAACTACTGCGAAAACATTCAAATAGATGATCCAATTGTTCCGGTGTAAAATCCCAGGCTAATTTAGCCAATAGATCGTGCATATTTTTCACTATAGCTTCATGTTTACCCGATTGAGCTGCCCAAAGATCATCTAAATCTTGTAAAGTTAAGGCTTTCTCTTTTATCACAAATCGAATTATTTTCTCTAATTTTTCAACATATTGAGGCTGATGGAGACTATCTTTTAGAACAATTTGTAATATCCTATTCTCTCGAATCCATTGAGCCATTCGAGCTGCAGTTAACCAATCTTCTTCTTCAACAAGATTAAGTTGACCCTCAGTTGAACTGGAGGCATCACAAACGATTGATGATGTTGCCATGGTAGAAGCTGCTGGATAAGGGGCTACATCGGCGGGTAAAATGTCACAAATATTGTTCTCGACAGTTTCATTGGCTGTTGTTGTTGTTGTTGTTGTTGCTGTTGCTGTAGCTGTTGTTGTTGCGGTTGAAGTTGTTGCCGTTGTTGGTATTGTTGTTGATGATGTTATTGTTGTTGCTGTTGTCGTTGTCGTTGCTATTGATGATCCACCTTCAGGTTTATTACCAAGTCGCATGAATGAATTTGTTGCCACACTGGCTATCACTTTGTTTATTTCATTGAGAGCATTCATTCTACCATTGAAAGATGAAATTTGTAATAGACGTAAAATTATTTTGAGACGAAATATTTCCAACTCTCGGATTCTTTCCTCTTGATTAGGTACACGAGATGCAAGATTTTTTAAACTTTTTACAACACCAGAGAGAACATCATTTTTCCCTTCATTTTTTGATTCTTTCTTCAATTCTTCATCATTTAAACTTTCCAGAAAGATAGGCACACTTTCAATAATTGATAGAAAATAGGTTATCACTGTCTCAACGGTAAGAAGCTCATAACATTGTCCAAATGGTTTGAGCAAGGCGGCAATCAATGGCACAGTTAATGGTGGACCTTTTTCAAACCTTTCCATTAACTTTTGGAAACCATCTAAACGACCAAAATAATTAATTAGATCAACTAACCATCCTTGAGGACAACGAGAATCAGGAGATTGGGCATAAACTTTTTCTTCTCCATGATTATGAGATTGGTTAGATGAAGATGATGAAAGGCTCTCAAGGCTATTCATATTGAACATGTGAAACCTACAAGAAGAAAGAAACAAAAAAAAAGAAATATTTTTAAAATCATAAACAATTTAGGATCATCATCAATTTTCTGATTTTATGATATGATATGTGTTTAAAAACACGTGAGAATACATTTTATAATCTCAATAGATTGAGTAGACAGTTGGAAAACCAAAAAAAAAGCAAATGTCGTAATGGTAAATAGAATCATTTTTGACAACAAGATCATTTTCTCCTTAAATGATGAAACTACGACTTACTTATTGTTTGGGTTAAAGACCATAGCTAAAAGGTCCAGAGTAGGGAAACAATCATCTTTAAGTTTGATAACAATTAATTCCAGAAGGCGTTCACAGTTTTGGAAAATGCATTTCTGTTGAAAGGAAGAAAAAGAGAGAAGAATAAGTTAATCATGGTTAGATGGGTAAAAGGCGATAGAAGAAGAAGTGAAAAAAAAAGGTAACAAAATGAGAAAAGAGGTAAAGACAGAGAGCAAATACAAAAGGTAAATTAGACAGGAGAGAGAAAGAGAAAGAGACAGAAAGAGACAGAGAGATTGAAAGAAAAGGAGTAAGCGTTTACGAGACAAGAAGATAGAAAAGTGAGAGAGAGAGTAAATAAAATTGGTTAGAAAAGGGATGAGACGGAGAAAGAAACATTAGTCTGATTGGTATCAGGTGCTTGAAAGGTAAATAGAAAAGTTTGATTGTAAATCAAGATGATGGTGATGATGGTGATGATGATGGGGATGATGATGATGATGATGACTCACATGAATTCCAAATTTCCAACCGGTGACTGCTTCATCGGTTAGAATACGAGTAAATGATATGGTTAAACCTTCTCGGATAAATCTTTGGCAAGGCTCACATTTGGTATCTAAACCACGGGCAGCTAAATCGGTAGAAGCTCTTAACAAAACCTCTAAATGACCCTCAGGTAAAACAGGAATGATCCACCGAGGCCAGCTGATCATTTGTTCCAATCGATTTAAATCAGCAACAGGGAACAGTGAGATTCTTGCTTCATCTGAGATGTCCTCTGAATCTGATGATGAATCTGAATACATAATATTATTTTATAGACAATTTATTGTACAATTATGTAGAGTCAATGATGTTGGAATTTTGAAAGACACATGTCAGATTTGATCTACTTTAATTACTATAAATTTACACATTAATCTGAATAAAATAAAAAAAATGTAAGATGTAAAATTGGAGAGAGAACTGAATGAGAAGAATAAGATAAATACGGCTCAAGTTCGGCGCAAGTTGGAATCGAATTGGCTGAGCCGATGGAAAACCGCTCATTCCAAAGAGTAGAAACAAAGAAAAGGAAAACAACAGGTGGAGCCACTGGTTGATTATTCTTTTAACTTTGATTCGGTTTGAAAGTCTCTTCGGGTCTTTGAAGAGGGAAAACAATTAAGTTAATTGAATTAACGAAACAAAATTAGAGGTTAAGGAGACGAGGGTTAGATGGAGATAGTAAGAGATAAGGAGAGAGTAAAAATTAATGGTCGATTGTTGTGATTTGCTTGACAATCAATTCTATGATTGGCTTGAGAAAAACTTCATTTCGACTCGGTGATCAATTGGTTAAGTTTCGGTGATTAAGAAAATGTCAAATTTACGAATTAGTGTTGATATGGATTATTAGTTATTGATTTTTTCTGTTTTTGGTTGGATGATTTTCGATTTAGTTTTGATCTTTGACCGGAAATTTTGGTCCAGTGTCAAATTGGAAAAGTAGAAAGAAAGTTGTAAGTTTTTTTTTAATCAAAATGAAACATTTAATTTAAGGTTAATCGAAAAGCATCAATATCTCTCTGGTGGTTCTACAATAATAAAATTACATCTTTAATCCTTCTGGTAAACTAGTGTCTTCTTCAAATGATCCCGTTCCCTCTACGAATTCCTCGTACGTGCTCTTCTCTTTGAACGGTCTTTTACCAAGAATTTCGATCATATCATCGCGATTAAGAACCTCTCTTTCCAAAAGCCTTTGTGCTACCTGAAAGAATTACAAGATAGAAATAGTTATTATTCCATCATTATGATAATAGCAAAAGAAAAAAAAGAGAGAAAATTCTGCATCAATTTACCTTTTCAACATCTTCTTTCTTTTCTGTTAATAATTTGATTGTTCTATCGTAGGCTCTTTGAACTAAAGCTCGAGCCTCGTTATCTATCAACTGTGAAGTAGCTTCGCTGTATGGTTTGTCCACTACAAGTTCACCAGGTTGTGGCATCTCGAAGGATAAATTTCCAACCTTTGAATTCATACCGAATTGTACAATCTGTGCATAAGCGTTTTGTGTCACTTTTTGAAGATCATCTTGAGCACCGGTGGTTATTTTGTTGAAGAAAATTTGCTCCGAAGCGCGTCCGCCCAAAGTCATACACATTCGATCAAACAATTGCTCTGTTGTGTACAAATATTGTTCCCGAGGAAGATTCATGGCGTAACCTAGTCCTTTACCACGAGGGATAATCGACACTTTTAGTAAAGGGTCAGCGTGTTCGAGGAACCAGCCGACAACCGCGTGTCCAGCTTCGTGATAAGCGACTGTTTTCTTTTCTTCTGGCTGAAGAACTTGAGTCTTCTTTTCCATACCAGCGACAACTCTTTCAATTGCAGCCTCAAAGTTTTTCAAAACAATGGTCTTACCAAGATCTCGAGCAGCGATAAGCGCCGCTTCGTTGCAAACATTTGCAATATCGGCACCAGTGAAACCTGGTGTTAGTGCTGCAAGTTTACGAGCGACATCATTTTTGTCCAGATCAGTTTTCAGGGTTTAAGGTGAACCTTGAAAATGGAAGCTCGACCTTTAATGTCTGGAGCAGAGACATAAATTTGACGATCAAAACGACCTGGTCGGAGAAGAGCTTTATCAAGAATATCACTACGATTAGTTGCCGCTAGTACAACTACATTAGTTGTCGTATTGAAACCATCCATTTCGACTAAAAGTTGATTCAATGTGTTTTCTTGTTCCGAATGACCACCGACATTTCGTCCTCCTCGCTTTCTACCGACTGCATCAATTTCATCAATGAATAATATACAAGGTGCATTTTTACGAGCCATGGCGAACATGTCACGAACACGAGATGGACCAACACCGACAAACATTTCCAAAAATTCTGAACCATTAACCGAGATGAAAGGGACATTTGCTTCACCGGCAGTCGCTTTTGCCAATAAAGTTTTACCAGTACCTGGAGGACCAGTAAGCAAAGCGCCTTTGGGAATCTTAGCACCAAGTTCGGTGTATTGTTGAGGATTACGAAGGAAGTTGACAAATTCCATGATTTCAATCTTTGCTTCCTCACAACCAGCAACATCTCTGAACTTGACACCAATGTCCGTTGGATTAATCACTTTGGCCGTAGATTCTCCCATTCCAAAGATTCCACCACGACCTCCCATTCGTCCTCCCATCATGTTTCGAGATTTAGAGAAAAAGTAGAACATACTACCGATGATTATCATAGTAGGAAGGAAACTGAGAAAATCTCGACTGTTTTTTGAATGAAAGAGAAAGAAAGAAAGAGAAATTAACATTTTCTCATTACCAATGGAAATGAAATGAACTTGATGAATTTCATCACGAGAATCAAACATCGTAATTGTTACTTACACTTCCATTTCATTTCTATAAACAACAGGAACATAATTTGAAGGTTCAATACTCATTTCGGCTTGGATATTTTCCAGATTACGTTCAAAGGCATCGACACTTCCGATACTAAACCAAAGGACGGAAGTTGTATCTGCTTGAGAAGCATCGGAATAAAATTTAACTCGAACCCATTTCTTGTTGACTACCTCTAACTTTTCAACGGTTCCTCGAGCCAAATGATTGTTGACAAAATCTTTCCATGAGATCTCTTTGTATCTCAACTCATTGAGAACCAATAAACCCAAAAGAGCTGAAGCTCCATAGGCGATATAAGGTAAAGTCTTATTTGATCCTGATGATCCTTTACCACCGCCGAAACTAAAATCCCATTTCCAGGTATATTTATTTTGAGAAGATGAGGATGATGAGGAAGATGAAGACTTTGCTCGTGATGAGGGTTCAAAAACAGATTCTTTTCTCTCACTACTACGTTTAGCTGAACTCGATTCTCCAGCAGCTTCTTTGGTTTGATTCTCAGTTGGTGTTTTCTTATCTGTAGAGAGAAACAAAATGGCGTCAATAAAGAACATTCAAAATTCGACCAAATCAAAGTCACATCAAAATCACTTGAGAAAACAATTTAAGACACAAACAAACAAATAAAATAAAATGTCACCAACTCACTTGATTTACCAAAAAATTTCTCAAATCCTTCCGGTGGCTTATTACAAAATGACCTCCACTGGGCAATCAGTTTACCCAATCTCGATGATGATCTTAAATGATGATGATTATGATAATGTGAGAGTAAATTATTTAAAATCTAAAAAGATGCAAACATGATAAATAATGGAAAAGAAAAAATTAACAAATCAATCAACACAATTACCAATAGAAAACAATAAAAAAAACAAGCAATGAACATGAAGAAAATGAGAAAATCCAAAAAAAAAGAGACAAACCTGACATCGTCTTGGATTAAGTGGTAATAGATTTCTCATTAATAATCTTTCATAATTACTAACACCAAGATAGGCCATAATTAGAGATTTTAATTATTTCAATTAAACAAAACAAAAAGAGAGAGACAAATTAAAATAATCCTAAATTAATTAAATCAACACAACATATTGACTATCATTGCACTTGAATGTTTATAAAAATGATGAAACCGATCATAGGGATTGTATATAAAGTGAATTAGGTAAATTACTTTTTTTTGTCATTAAATTTAATTCAGTTTGAGGTTGACTTGTGTTTAGATACAATTGTTCACGTCAATGGGGATATTTTAAATTTACAAATTGAAGTGAAATTGGTTAATAGAGTTGAAGATGATTCTGTTTACAGTACAATCGATAGTTGGTTAATTGTTTGAGCTTTGATATTGATGGCAAATCAAAATGTCCATGGATGGGAATTCATTGTTTAACAATTCAACTGTTGAGGAAACTTTTTGGAGTAAAAATTTTGACGGTAAGAAGTTGATCAATTTGATTGTTCAATGGGAATTATAATCGATTTTGTATTGATTCAGTTATTTGGGATGTGTTTCTTTTCGGTTCCATTGGGTTTTTGGTTCTAATTTTTGTTCTAGTTTCCGTTCTGTTGGTACTTTATATTAGAACTTTGGACAAATGGGTTAAAGAGATTGAGAAAGCTCGACAAAAAGAAAGTAAGTTTATCCAATTAGTTTAATCAATCAATTTGATTGTTGTTTCAATCGTTGTTTCACTTTTTCTAACCATCATCAATTAAAGGGCAAAGGGTATTGGCTAATCAAATTGATTCTGGTGCTGGTTCTTGATCATTGATCGTCTTGATTACAGATTTTATCAACATCAGTGGCTTTTTATAACTATTTTTAGGAAGATCAGTTGATTTACAGGTTAATCGGATAATTTCAATTAGTTCAGTTATCTCCTTCCGTTGACTTGAACCCATGGATCTATAAGATGTCATTACAATATTGGTTAACCAAACAATCAGTCCACTTTCAATGACCAATATTGTCAAAACTTTGGGTATTCTTGAACAATTCTTGATAAATTGAATAATTAAAATTCTGTCCAACCAATCAACCCATTTACTTGTAAATATTGATAAAATGTAATTGAATAAATTGTTACATTTACATATTTCAAAGTCTTGTTCACTTCGTACCGATCTTGCCAATAGATTTAACACAAAACGTTGACACTTTTTCCATTCTAAATCTTTGCTTAATAATAGATTAATAAATAGAGATGATATTTGATCACAATCAAATTTTGGTTTAGCGGTGACAAAATCTTTCAGCTCATAAAACATTGAATCCTTTGGTGTATCAATTGTCTCAATAATTTTAACCAATAACGATGTTAACAGGAAAGGCATCTTTTGATTAGGTGAGGACATTGAAGCTCTAAAACAATCAATAAAATGAGTCCAAAAGTAAACTGCTGATAGTGATTTAGAGGCTTCCAAATGGAAAAGTAATCGCTCCAAAACCAGGTAACTTAAATGTCTCATGGAAATGATTTCACTTGATGTACCAACGAGAGCGATTGAAAGACCAAACGATTTGATTATTTGATTACAATTAACAGCATTTTCGGGTCCAAGTAAATGGTATAAAGAGGTGAGAATATAACGTGGATCGTATAAATCTGGTCGATCTTCATGGTGATCATCAGTTAAATCTAATGAAAGATCAAGTGGAAATTGTTCCAAGGTTTTAATCATTTGATCTCTTTTATATTGGCCCATGACATGGTTTGATTTAGGAATTTGAAATAGAGAATGTCGAGTATCACCAATGGATGCATAGAAAATTGGAGCAGCTTCTCCCCAAATGAATGGATTGTATTTTAAAATGGACGATTTTCCATCAAGTGAATCAATTTCTCTCAAAATATCAACATCTTTCTTGGATAAAGTTGCTCCATATTGACCGAGTAAAGAACCGAAACGATTCATATTACCAATAACACTCTTCGATCTGTTGGTGTAGAAAGGAAAGGAAAATGGATTAATTAGTGAAAAAAGAAAAAAAAATTCAAAAGAAAATATTAATTCTCACTTAAATTAGTTGAACAATTAACAATGAAAGGGAAAAAATTAATCAAAACAAACAAGCATGTGAAAAGAAAGAGAAAAAGAAAGAGAAAAGAAAAAGCTCAAAATCTCAGCTAATCATCGATTCTTCAGCTGCGCCGATTTTTGAAGAATAGTAAAAAACTCTACCAATAGATGGCGTTCAAAATCCAAAAGAAAATCTAATCATCAACAATTAATTAATTTCTAATCATCAATTGACTAATAAAGACAATAGAAAATTTTGATTAGTTTTAAATTCAATTTTTTAAATGATAGATAATTAAACAGAAAATTCTTTCCAAGATTCAATCAAAATTGATAAGAAACAAAATGAATTGATTGGATTAGAATCCGAAAGTTAAGAGCAAAAGTTAATCATCTTGATTGTTTCTCGAAATTACAACAATTAAGATGATAAAAAAAACAATCGAATAAATAAAAAAGTTAACTAATTGTTAATCTAAATAGATGGCGACACAAAATTCAATTAAATTGAATCACGAAAAAAAGATGAACCATTGAGGCTGCTCGAGCTATTAAACGAATAGGAAAAACAAGAAAGTTAATAGTTAACCGGTTAAGTTTTAGTTGATTGTTACCAACAGTTTAGATAAGTTGATAATTTGTCCACAATCAACATGATACAACAACAATTAACACCTACGATCATCAATAATCATCTTAATTGTGAGAAAATTGCAACAACGATGACAACAATTAACTTATTTCCTCCACCATAATAATAAAGTGTAACCAATTTATTATCAAACCAACAACAAAAACGGATAATCACAATTAACGTAATTTTTAATTGTGCATGTGTGTGTGTGAATTGTGTATATTGAATATAAAACTACAATATGAATCTATCATCTTTAATCAATTTACTCTATATTTCATTTGGCTTAATTGTTTTACTATTAACAATAAGTATCAATGAAATTAATTGTAGAGACCATGAGATTTCAACTGCCGGTGATAAATCAGCTTATTTACCCTGTGAGGTTGATTTTGTTAATTGCGGTGAAATTTATTTCATCACTTGGTCTAAAAATGTCTCAAATGAATGGCAAAGGGTTTATTCATATTCTCAGGGATACCAAAAAGCCCTCGGGTCATTCAGTGGGTCACCTGAACGGATATCAATGGATGACACCAATATGACCACCACTGGAATTGCCTATTTGTGGATAAAAAATTTAGGATTACAAGATGAAGGGACATATAAGTGTGATGTTACTTATGTCCATGGTAATTGTCCATCTTTAACATATTCAAGATTATTCACCTTGGGTAAGCAATTAGTTAATTGTTCTATCTTCATTTCGATCAACTTGAGATTCAATTCAATTCAATTCAATTCATTATCATTAATTTTCTGATGAACTTAATTTTCATCTCTTTCTATTATTATATTGGAAAGTTACAGTTTATTCATCATCATCATTTCCTTTTCCTCTTTTTTTTCTGTTGTTTTTTGTATCAGTTTTTAATTGTTATCAATTAATAACCTTCACTTATCACCAACTAAACTATCATTGGATGAGTTTAATTGTAATCAAATGATTCAAATTTATCTCTAAGCAAAAAGTTAATCACTTTAATCTGATCAATTTTTTTTCGCTTCGTTCAATGTTAATTATTATTATCATGATGATTTTATAATTCAGCTCATAAGAGTTTTTCATTTATCATGTAATATGTATTTCTCATGATGATGATGAGATAATAGGATTATCTTGATTCATAATAATTCAGATGAAGGAGAGGAATAAAAAAGTTCTGAAATTGATTCAGAATTGAGAAAGTTTCTGTTTGTTATTCCGTCGATTTTGATTATTAATAATTGAACATTTACTCATGATATTAATCAGATTAATTTGAAATATTTTTCGAATTTGCAAATTTAATTTCATTCATGATTAATCATTACAAGTAAAACAATTAATGACAATCAATATTATGTAATGAAAGATTGTAATAATAAATGTTTGTTGTAAAGTTAAATTGTCAATTCAATTATTGATTATCGATTAAGGAATTGATATAACCTGAAGCGTGAGAGCGTTTAATTAGCATGAAGATTCAGTAGCCCAAGAATGATGATGATAATTATTTAAGTGTATAAACAATTACCAAACAATTTAGAGGATAAAGATAATCAACATTTAACTTTTTTCTCCATTGGCAATTTGCCCGAGAAAGAAAAATTAAAATCTAACCAACAATTTACTTCTCACACTTACATGTATCATTAGTGTGATTATATTAATTATGAATAATAATAATTTCCACCATAAATTTCATGGTAAATATAGATATTACCGCCACAAGAATCAATTGAATAAGATTTAGGAGAGGAGGAAAAGTTTTCTCCTCTTGCAACAATTAACTTTAATTTCTTGTTTAGCCTTAATTAACTTGATTTGCGCTTCTTTAGGATTGAAAACTTATCCAATATCTGATTAGTTGTTACTCATCGCCATCATGAAAAGTGAATTAAGTTAATCATCTTATTTATGTTGATGAATGATGATAATCATTTGCAATTGAAATGATTAGATTGCAATTTAGTATGAAAAGCAAGAGGAAAAAATAGTTTACAAGATTGTTTTATATTCATGAAGACAAGATTATTGTAATTGAGACTCAATGTTCATAAGTGTTCATGATGATTAAAGATGAGGTTTCTAGTTGAAGCTGAAAGAAGATGAAGATGAAATAAGAGCCGAAGATGTATCATCATCTTAAAAGAAATTAGGATGAAGATGATGATCATCTTCTTTGCATAATAATATCATGTACCATTCTCATCATCATCATCATCATCATCATCCTCATCATCTAAATGAATGAAAAAACAACAACAACAAACAAGGAGTATTCATTTTGAGCTTCAATTGGAAAGTCGAGGCTAAAAAACTTGGCTCACAATTGAAAGTTTTACAAGTTTTTCAAATATCATCCTCATCTCTTTGGGTCTCTGTCTCATCATCATCCTCATCCTCATCCTCTCATCCTATTGACAAACGGATATAACAAAAGTGATCCTTTGTGTCAATCCCTGTTGTCGTTATTTGTTGTTGTTGTTTTTTTTTCGGGTCCTCTTCAATTTCCTAATTTCCTCATTAAACTAACTATCAATTGCCAGTAAATATAAATGTTCCCAACCTTAATCAACAGCACAATTAACTGAACTCTATTGTACATCCATGAAATTTATATGATACAATAACTTTGATTTTTTTTTCTTCTTCATATCACTGAAAATGCCAACACAAAGTTAATTAGCACAATTACAATTATAATTACATTTCTACTTGACTTTGGATTAGCTGAAAGTTTTTGCTTTTACTTTTGTTTTCCAACAATCATCGTAAGTGTCGTCGGCTCGAGTTGACAATTAGAACATTTTTCTTTCCAATGGAATCCAAAAACCAACAGGAAATAGTGTCAACAGTCAATGGTGAATTAGATTGAAGTGTGACTACTGATTACTATTAACATAACTTTCATTTACTATTCTTTTGCCTTAAGTTGAATTTTTTTACTTCAATGTTACTAGTAAATTCAATAGAAACATTTTCCATGACAATGATAAGTGTGTGTACTTCATAATAATAATAACTTGATGTATCATGATGAACAAGAGGAGAGAAACATGATGATGATGAGGATGCTAAAGATGAAGAAGCTGATGTAATGCATTTTTTTTAATTCTCATTTGAAGAAGACAAATGATGATAATCACAATGAGACACGATTATGAAATTCAGTTAGTCTATAATATCCATTTAGAATTTGTATCCTAAATAATCCTCGAATTACTATTGATATTATTTTCTTTTTACTCACAAATTGATTATTATTTATTAACTAACACTAATTATCTTAATCACACGCTGAATGTTATTTAATCCATATATGTTTAGGGAAACATGATTAATTTGGTTGATTAGTTTCCACCTCAACCTTATAAATGGATGAACAAAGTTAATTGTGAAAAATTGGTTTTGAAAATATACCTTTTCGTAGTAATAATAATATTGATTAGTTACTTTGAATTCACGATTGTTAAGGTTAATTGATTATTCAAGGCACGAAAATCAAGGTGAATAAATAAGATGAGGAAAAGTTTGAGAATTGGTTGTAATCCTTTTTCTTGGAGTTTTTTTTTTCCTCATTTCCATTTCCTTTTTCAGGGTAAACAGCTGAAAGAAATTGAAATGAACATGATGAAAGTTTAAGGTGTATGGATAACACATCTAATATTAACCTCTAATTGATGACTAGGGGAAGATGAGAGAGTGAGAGTGAGAGAGAGTTTTCATCTTTAATCTTTATCTCTTTTCATAAGTTAATGAGAGATTGTTACAAGCTAAGTGAGGAAGATGAGATGATGAGGATGAGGATGGAAAAGGAAAACAAAGGATGAGGAAAATTTTCGTTCCATCCTCAGTAGACAATGCAAGAGAAATGAGAGAGGAAGATGATGATGATGACAAGATTAAGATTCTGGTAATTGTGGTAATATCATCTCTTTGGAAAGGTTAAAGCCTTTTACCACAAGAATCCAATAGACATATTGATTGACATGGAAATTGTTTGTTTCTGGTTCCTGTTTCAGAGAAACAACTTTTCGGTGTTAGAAGACAATCCCAATTATCCTAAAGATGATAATGTTTATCATGATGATGATAAACAATCGTGATCCTTAATAGCAACTATGATTAGATTATTACCCTTATATAATGGGAATTACCTTTATGATTAGCGTGAGATTGAAATTATTTTGATTTGGACAATTTTATATTGTTATTGATTGTGTGCTACTATTATGATAATCAATTCTCATTATGATTTACTAATTGTGACCAGTAAACTAAAATCAATCATGATAATTACTTTTAATATAAACAAACTTTGATTTAGTTTCCTTGTGTTGCCTGAAAATAAACAAACTAAATAATAATTGACTTTGAATAATGAATATATGAAACTGAATTAACTTAATCAATGAATGAAACATTGATGACAGTTAACAAATTATCATCTGATTATGTTGAAATCTTAACCATAGTTAATTGTAATCAACAGTAATCATTAATCATTTTACAAGAAAAAATATAAACATTTCAAGTTGATAATAAAACATTTTGAACTTTTTTTTACGAAAAAAAAACTGACAAACTTTGTCAGCTGATTGATTGTTTACAATTAACTATTATGCTAATTAATAATGAATTTAAAACCAATTGACTTATACAACATGAGCAATTAAGGTTCACTAATTAAAATTCAAGCTCTTTGCAATTGAAATTTAATTATAAATTGAAAGTAAAGTAAATTAAATTAATTTGCTTAATCAAATGTTTAATCTGATTGTCAATCTAATGTTCATGGTAGATGAAGCAAAAAATTAATATTAAATTGTTCATTTTGATCTGAATTGAATTGAATTGAGTTGAATTTTTTTCTTGCATGAACTACTTAATTGTTATTACAATAAGAATCAGGTACTAATTGTTTGTTAATGATTCAACTTTTACAACAGTTAAACCAGGGGAACCTGTGATTAGGATTAATGGTGAACCATTGGAATCAAAGTTACTGTTGAAAACAGAATCAAGTGATAATCTTCATGGTGATAATTCAGGGACAACAAATGCCCATGTGATTAATGAGAAGAGTGAAACAAGTGATTGGAGTGAAGGTCAAGAATCAACACCAATAGTGTATCAAGTTGGCCCTTTTGCTGAAAGTTCAACTGTGACCCTTGAATGTTCAACAACAGGAGGTCGACCCATTCCAGAGGTAAAATGGTTCAATGGATCACGACCACTTCGATCAAAGGTCAACCTATTCAATCGGGAAACAGGGCCGAGTGTAACCTCAACCATTCGTCTAGTTGTCACTCGAAATGATGTCGGTGTCAAATTGGGCTGTAGGGTTTGGAATAATGCGACCAAAGTTCCGTTAACCAAATGGATTTCACTGGAAATTCATGGTAAGTCAAAACACCAAAGAATCGAAAAAAAAAATACATAATCTCCCTTTCTTTTCACTTGATCTTTATTTTTATTCTGTTTATCTTTCTTATCATTATCTCTCTCTCTCTCCAATAACCACTTCCCCTCCCATCATTTTCACTCCCAGTCTGTCAAATATAATAACTTATTCTCTATCTTTATCAATTTTCCTCCCCAATTCTTTCGGTATATACGCTCACGAACTCTCATCCTCATCTTCCACCCTCCCACTATGTTATTGTTGTCAAAACGGTGTAAAGAATATATCTATCGATACAATCGATTATCAATAATATTCATTAAGCACAATGAGCATTGATAATAGATGTTAAATCCTGATCTATTTAACTGGTGTCTCTCCATGAGTGTAAATGTGAATGTAACTTTTTTTTTCATAATTTTCTAGGTTGATTGAGCTTCTGATTGACAGTTACAATCCACAGTTGGGTGTTACATTTATACAGAAATAATATTAGAACTTCTCTCTCTTTCTCTTTCTCTTTCTCTTTTATCATCATAATTGAATGGAAAAGGTTACAATACAATGATGATGATGATAATTGACAAAAAAGTCTAAACCTTAACAAGATGAATGAATTCATTTTCAACTGAACATTATCAACAATCTGTACACAGAGTTGATTGCTGTTCATTGAGCCTTTCATTAAATCTACATTGTATTATTATTAAACTTTTTGGCTTATCATCTCCTTCATCCTCATCATGATCATTATTTTCAATCTAAAATCTCCACACAACAATCAAGGATAATGATTACAATTGTAATGTAACAGTAATAACAAAAATATGAATCTTTGTGTATTTGAATTAGTTTTTCAGTTCGTGCTGAAAGATGAAACAAAATTAACGAGTTAATCTAAATACATTTAGAGTTTGTTTTTTTATTACTCTTTATTACAACACAATAAACAATCTAATTGCTTATATTAATAATTGATTAAAATATTGTATCATAGTTGAGACATTCAAGTTTGAAGGGCAAATTTTGTATAAGAGATTGACTTTGGTCATCTCTTGACCTTTCCTATTACTATCATGAAATAAGATATTGTAATACAACTTTGACCTTCCTTTTAATTCATATAATGATTACAATCAATAGGAAATGTGATTTCCTTTGAATTTCCAATTCGTGATTTAAAAGATCCAACTGAGTTAACCTTACATGAGGAATCTATCAGAATATCGAGCAAGACAAGTTGATAAAAAATAATAACATCTATTAACACTAGAATTGGCTTCATGATCAAATGAGATACAAGGAAAAAAGTTTTCTCTCTGTGTGTTTAACTTTCTCTCTCTCTCTTGGTACATAAAAGATATACAGAGATACATGTAGTGATAGCTAAAGCTTTCGCTAATGATTAACTCCAACACGCAACTTTGCAAAAACTTCATTGATAATAATCATCATCCTAATGATTGTATGTGTGTGTACTAGCATCCAAACTATGGATACTGAAGGTTGAAAAAAAAACAAGGTATTAGATATGAAATTATGAAGAAAAAAGTAAAAAAATAATAACAAAGTTACATGATTAGAGAGGTTGAAAAAAACAACAACTCTCGATACACATATCATATCATATTAAGAGTTCTAATGTTATTAATATATTAAACATGCATCCAAGTGATTGAAATGTTAGATGAGAATTGAAATCAATCAACAAAATGAAGAAGCGTGATTGTAGAAGATGATAGAGGGAGAGAGAGAGAGAGAGAGAGAGAGAGAGAGAGAGAGAGAGAGAGAGAGAGAGATGGATATGGAGATGGAGATTAGGGTGAAGATGAGATTGAAAATGGAGTGAAGAGACAGAGAGAAAGAGATAACTTGAGTAATTGGAAGAGATGATGAAGAAGAAAATTATTATGATTAGAGAAATGGAAGAGAAAATCAAACAAAAAGAAGATAATGATGAGGATGAAGATAAGATGATGAAATTTCTGGGTGCAAAAAGAAGGTGAAGGGAGAATGAGGGAAGAGAAAGAGAAGATGATGAGGATGAAAAGGAGAGCGAGAGAGCAAAAAGATTGTCATATTATTAATATAATGAGACCTTACACGAATGATGGATTAGATACATTTTCACAATTCGATTTACCATTTTTGATGATCAAGTTAATTGAAGTGAGTGATTTATTTTTGTAGCATTTTCGATGTTGCATTTGCTTTTTTGTCTTTTCTCCTGATTTAAGCCCAATTCCATCCAAAGGGCAACTTGCTGTTCATTGCATCAACTTTTTGCATGCTTGAATCTGAAGAAAATGATGAAATGAAGTCAACTGAAAAGCTAACAGATGATGAGGGAAAAATGTAACAATAAAAATGATACACCGATAAACCATCAGTGTATATGCAATAAGATGATGAGTATGAGTAAAAAAAACACCAAATGAATTCACATTAATCAAAAGTGATTAGTGTAATGAGAAAGAGAGAGAAAGGGAATTACAATTTACCTTGAATTAGCTTCTAGAAGCAAATTAATATCAACTGAATGTTATTTAATGATGACAATTGTGATTGTTGTGCATAATTTTGTTTCCCTCATCCTCATCATCAGCTAAATTACAGCTAATCAATTGTAATCAATCATCTTATGCATTGTTACTCATTAATTATTGTTATCATCATCAACAATCAAATCTATTGTATCTTATGGTTATGATACGATTACAATTATAGTCTAATTTAAGGAGGGATAAATTTCCTATGGAAATAAATTTCCAAACTTCTCTTGCTCTTTTCCATTTCATGCTCGATTTTTTCCCTATTCTAATCCGCAAAGTTCTGAGTGGAAACTCATTTTTTGCATGGTTAACAATTTGTTATTCTCTCTCTCTCTCTCTCTCTCTCAATCTATTGCAAATACTTTGAATACCATTGAATTTGTTTCATGTTATTATCGTGATATTTATTAGCCTGAGAATTTATTTTATCAATTGAATTGCTATGTTTCAATTATTTTCATCAATGAATCACACTGAAGGGTGTGGACTGAAGGTTAAATGAAATGATGTGAATAATTTGCGTAATCAAACAACCAATGGTCAATCGTTAGAGCTTAGAATTGGTTAACTAATGGATAAAGAAGATAAAAACAATAAGATGACAACTTTTTGTGGTTAGAAAAGACGAAAGTTGTCAAGGTAAAATTGTGAATTGAATTTCGAATGGAAGAAAAAAGAGATAAACATAAGAATGATAGAATGATTTTCTTAGGTGATTATTATCGTTAGGAATTTTCTTTTCTCAATTTCTTTCTTATTTATATATAAATTTCTTTCCTTTAAGGCTTTTTCTTGATCTTTCTCATCTCTTTAGATATGAAACACTGACCTTAGCATTGGTCAATTGAATTGGCCAGAGAAAGAAAATAAAAAGGGTGGAGTTGGAGAGATGATAAGAATAAATTATCCTTATAAGAATGAGATGGATAAAGAGCAATACTAAATCTCCTCTCTTCTTAAAGATAAATCTAATTTTACTTCCTTCTTATTACTTTTCCTCTCTCTCTTGGTTTCTTTCTTTTCCCTCTCCACTTCATGATCATTTCAACATGTTCTTTATTCATTTTCTATTATTTTCCACTTTCGTTTTTCTACTTTTCCTCTTCCTATTTCTTTGGCTCTCTATCTCTCTTTTCTCACTTTCACGCTTTTCTCTAGTCTTGATTTCTCATTCTAATCATCATGTAATTATCTTTTTCTTTCTCAGTTAAACCCTTATCATTGAAATTGCGACGGCCCAAAGCTCCTGTTGTTTCTGGCGAAATGGTTTCATTGACATGTACCGTTGATGGAGCTCGACCTCCAGCGTCAATAGTTTGGTTTAACCGATCAGAAGTTGTCTCTAACCATCCACCATCATCAACAGAATTATCATCCGATGGGACTTACAGGTAAAAAGAAACTTGCAATTTCACTTTTTTTGTTGCATTAGAGTAAATTTAACATGTAATATTCAGAGTATTTGTTGATCATCTGTTAGAAGGGATAAAATTGGATTTATTCAAAAATTGAGATAATAATATTGAGTTTCAAGTGGAATGAGATTTTTCAGTTCTGTGAAATAATTTAAAATGAAACTCATATTTACCATGATGGAAAAAGATTTCAATCTTTTACTACTACTAGCATTATAACGTTCTCATTGAATGATATTTTTTTCTACTTTTATCTCAATCTCAATATCATACCTTTGAAGTAACTTAAACTCTGAAATATTTCATGAAGTTTTCATGCTATCAAATGATTCAGTTTATCAGAATGAGAAGGAGAGAGAGAAGAGAGAGAGAGAGAGAGAGAGACTAGAAAGTTCATCTTTACTGAAAATAAAATGAGAAATCAGTTCCAAGGTGGGAAAGGTAATCAAAGTGAAAGCAATTGTATTAACTTTCTTATGATACTTTTGTTCATTCAGTTGATTTTCATCATCAACATGTTGAAATTTTCCTTTTAAAAATCTGATCCTTACCTACTTGTGAAATTGAATTGAATTCATCATGATGATAACAGCATTTATCATCCAAAGAGTAAAAATAAAATAAAAGATATATTGTTTATCACTATTTATATGCTTTTATCTGTCAAGTTTACAGTTATATTAACAGGGTTATCATCATCAAAATCATCATGATGATCCATGAATATTGAACAAAATGTTAACAATTCAGTCAATATAAAGTTGAAGATGAATATACAATCTGATTATAAATGAATCGTATCAATTGAAATAATCATAATAATAGTAACTCTTGAAAACTTTAAGCTAAAACTTTTGACCCATACAGTTGAATAAGATAATTAGAATGCTAATTATAATCTTCTAACTAATTAATACAATAAGACAATTATTATGTTAACAGTTAATTAATTTTATTTGTCACTTTTACCATTTCAATTTACAGGGAATCATTATCAGGGAAAATCATGAATATGAGCACGAAAATAGTTCAGTAATTGTCATTGGTGTTTCAACTCTTTGCCAAACCTTTAAAACAAAGAGGTAGAGGGAGAGACACATGGAAGATATGAAGATGAGGATGGAGATAAGGATGAAAGATGATGATGAAAACAGTTTGACACTTCATTGACTTGCATGTAAACAAACTGACTGAATGATGAATAGATAAGAAAAAGTTTTCAGTCAAAGGCGAGAACAAGATGAGAAATGAAAAAAAAAGTTCAGACAGAAAAGAGATTCTCAAGATACTTGTCATTATGATGATAATGATGGTGTTGTCGATGATGAGGATGAGTGGGAGGGAAAAGACTCAGAGTGTGACAAATATTTGCTCACTAATACTCGTCGTCAACATCATCATGATGAAGGAAAAATTGTTCTCTTTTTTCTTCTTATTCTTTTTCCGCCCATGGAATTCAATGAATTCCTGCTAATCTTCATCTTCCATTGTAATGAATTGTATATTATGAAAAGGAAAATTTTCCCTCCATGGGTAATATAAACACCTTCATTTACATTTATTTAAGATCAATGGAAATCATCATGTTTACACATTCTCTCTTGTAGATTATATTACCTCCATCATCATCATCATGTATCTTATTATTAACTGAGAATTTAATATTCAATGAGGAATCAAAATAATCGATATGATGGAAAATGAACTTGTTCATTTCTTTTTGTTCATTTTTCGAATCGATTCAACTTTTTTTTTCGAGTTCTAAATGAGAAACTTTCACATTCACTTTCTCCTCTTTTCAATTCAATTTCAACCTTTTCACTAAATCGAAACGATAATTTCATTTAATTATCAGCTAATTGAACTTTAATTGTGTTGATACTCAATTGCATAGGTTTATATTTTTCCCTGTGAGTTGCAACAATCAACCTAATGACTTTCTCAATTTACCACAATTAACATGATTATTAGACAACAATTATCATAATCTTTCATGTGGATAAATCATGTAATCGTATTTAAAATGATAAAAAAGTTTCTCTATGATTCAGTTAATTGTTAGTTGACTATTTAATTATAATTCAGTTGCATATTACAGGTTCTTAATCAATGATTGTTGGTAAAAAAAATACCAACTCAAGTATTACAACAATTTGATATGATTAATTTGATGAAGAAAATGATTAAAGTTAATTACAATTCAATGTTTCCATTGCAATTAACATGAACTCATCCGCTCTCCCTGATCAATTATTAACTAAATTATATTCACCCTAAAGTGATAATAATTAAAGTCACCGGTGAAATTTGAAATTGACCATAGTCCACCCTGAATATTTCCATGTAAAGTAGATGAATTTTTCATCGATATTGATTTTTATTTTTCTGATTCTTTTCCTCTATTAATATGAACTTTTTATGGACAAAATTACCAAATAAAATTGTGAACACTTTGGACTTCGATTGGTAAAATGATCAACCTTGATGATGAACTTGAACTCACCTGTAATGGAACCTGAATCATCCCTGAATTCTGATTCTGCTGATGAACATGATAACCTTTTCCATGGCGATGAACATCTCTCTCTCATAATTTCAAGAACATGGAGTAAACTTGTATTCATTGCATCACGTTATGATCATAATGGTGAATTTTTCTGCAAAGGAACCAATCAAATCCTCAAGGAACACAATGAAGTCCCTCTTATTGAAATGACCATGTTACAGGTATTATGTAAGTAGATCAAATTTTTTTTTCTCCTTCTTTTATTTCATCATTATCTCCATGAAACAATCATGAACATTGTTATTACTCTGATATTATTATTTTCGTACAATATCAATCTACTTATAAACACTCACGTAATTTAAGATTCAAAGGTAAATATTATTTTCTTGTAATAATGTTAACAACAAACTCTTTCCATGTAATTTACATGACAAAGACTTCATCTTATTATCATTCTGATTTCAATCAATTGGTTATCTCAATTTTATTCATGATATTTGTCATCTCATTGTCTCTTGTTGTTTAGTATGAGTATAAGTTTTGATTGATATGATTGAATTGTTAATCTATCCTTAATGATAAGTCTTAATCCTCAATTCATTACATGATACCAACTGAATTGAATTTGAAAATGAACATGGGGCCAATTGAATTGTCACTGTTATTGTTGTTGTAAATCATGTTCACAATCAACTGTTAATCAAACTATTAAAAGGATAAATCTCTAGTCATTAGTTTACCTCTATCTCCCTGTAGGGATTGAATTTAAATCGCTTGGATCTTAATGAAAATAATAATAATCGTGATTAAGATTATAAAGGTAACTTAGTGAATCTTTTTTTTATACTCTTCGTCTCTTCATTAATCTGTATCTTCATCAGGAAGAACAAGAAGAAGAAAAAAACTACTAATTCTCACCCTAGACACCTAATCGTACTCTCATCTTAATCTAGCTGAATTCGAATTGTATTAGAACTTTTTTTTCTATTTCCCCATGTAAACTAATATGTATTCAGTCACTAGATTATATCGATATTGAATCGAAGTTGGAAAAAGACTAATCAGATTGAAAGGACTTTAGTAAGAGAGGCAAAAGAAAGGGTATCATCATCATCGTCTTGATCCTTTTGTTTCATGGTGGAAAAAACTTTCGAGAGAGAGAGAGAGAGAGAGAGAGAGAGAGAGAGAGAGAGATACGGGAGTGTTTTCGAATGAGCGAAAAAAGTTCTAATTCGAGTAAATCTTTTTCCATCCTCATCCTTTATTCACATAAATTTTCATTCTTCTAATTGGCTTTGAATTTTTTTCTACTCTCTCATTGTCTTCTAAGTCTATCATCTTTTTTCTGTCATCATTGTGCCCTTTCCACTCTCTCTCTCTCTCTCTCCTTCTCCTCCTCCACCAACACTTTCCTCCTCTTACCCACCACCACCTCTTATTTAAATGAATTGAATTGAGTGAGAAACCGTATTAAGTAAATTATGTCACAATAGAAACAATTTGAATATTGATTTAAACTGAGTTACCACTATAATCATGATATAAATTCAGAATTTTAATATTATTTAAAAATATTTGCGATGAAAAAAAAAGAAATGATTAACTATTCATATTCAACTGTAATTATGATTAAAACTAATGATGAACAATTTAAACTGTTATATACACACACACACTTGGTTTTCTTGTTGTAAATTAATTGTTATCACTAATTGTTATTTAATGATGATTCAATTTAATCAGAAGAAAAACATTTCAATTTCAATTCTTATTAAATCCAATAGATTAATCATTAAATTAAATTAAATTGTTACCAAACACATTAATTATCATTACGAACTAATCTAAATTGCTGATTCCCTTGAACTTTTTTTTTGATATCTAATCAGTTGAATCATTAAACTCAATTAAGTATAAACCAATCAATTAACCAATATTATTATCAATATCAATCATTATTAACTAATGATAATAATTTAATTACTTTGATGATTCATCATCTCAATTAAATTGTTAACAAATTGTAAAATCCCGAGTAACAGTTTAACATAAAACAGATATTACAATAATTACAATATTAATCTAAATCGTCGTATTAATAATATCCGCTAATCAATATTCAACTAATATGGATTAGTTTTTAATTGTAATTTTAATCAACTAACAAGAAAATATCAATTCACTGACAAAGAGATGATAACAATGAAAAGAGAGAGAGAGAGTTACTCTTATACAAGAAGAAGCAATTTAATCCTTGATGATGATAATCTTTATCTAATCCTTTCACTGGAATCAGTATTAATCCATCCCCAAGAATAAGGATTAGAGGCTGAAAGAGTTGTGCAAGAAGATGAGAGAGACAGAGAGAGAGAGAGAGAGAGAGAGAGAGAGAGTAAACAATGAAGATAAGTGAGAAATGGGAAGGATGATAAACCGATGAGGATAAACATTTGAATACAATTCAATCAACACATTGATCAATATCAACATTGATCCTTATTTAATATGAATAATGATATTTACGTTTATCAAAGTCACATTTTCTATTCACTTTTATTCAATTGAATTGTCGACAATTTAACCCATTTATTTAAATCTCAATCCATTGAACCGATTTCTTTAATTGTTACAATTGTATCGATTACAAAATATTTTTTTACATGTTTCACTTTCTTGCTCAACAATAACTATGCATTGATATTCAATCGTATAAATATTAATATTTGCATTTGCTTGAAGCATTTCCCGGCTCTTCAAATTTTAAACATTTCAACCTCATGAATCTTAATTTTTTTATGCATGTATTACTTATTGTACACATTGGATTGAAATTCTAAATGCAATTATAATTGATTTCATTTAATTTGATATTCAGTTGAAATTTTAATGAAAATGCAATTAGTTATCATTAAATTTTCACTAGAAAATAATAACACTTTGAAACTTTTCACCATCCCGAGCATTCATTATGATTTAATAGTAATATTAACAAGATCAGGTTATAAGTTCATCAGATTTAACTATTGATTAAGTTAATCCTGTCAATCTTTTTCTTTAATCTTTCTCACTTTCTCTCCCTGAGCTTGATGATTTTCATTATTTTTGATTGATTCGTTTGAGTATTTATTAAACTTTTGAATATGATGATGGAGTTGAGGATAAGGGATGAGAAGAGAAATATGTTTAAAGAGAAAAGGAGAGAAAGAGTGAGAGATTTTTCTTTGACTCCCTCAACTCTCTCATCGATCGACATTGTAAATTGCCTTTACGCCTCAAGGGAAAAGGCTGAGTAAATTAATCGATAGTTTTGTTTTCCTCTCTCCTCTTTTTTTCTGGGTAAAACCAATTGCTCGGTTCAGTGGGTTAACGTAAAGAACCACCTTCCCCTGTCTCATGTAATGTTTATCTGAAATTCAGAACTTTTTTCCTATCGTTTCTCTCTCTATCACCATGCACCATGATCATCATTATCTTCATCCTCCCTATCACGTTTCTAACCTCGTCAATTCAGCGGGACCGTTGGGTTGATATTCACTTTTAACTTTTTCTAAAGTTTTTTCATTTATTCATTTCAAATGATTACCTTTGTGTATTTATCTCACCCTGATGGCTTAATCTTGAATATGATATTAGACTCTCATCTGATATTACAATTCATTTGAAAACTTTTATCTCCAATCTTCATGAAAATGTCCCCGGTAACTTTCATGATAAAATAATATTATAACAATTTTTATCTCTAATCCTTTTTGCCTTTTGATATTTTTCAACCATTTTCTTGGTAAAAGTATCAACTACTTTTGCTTCATGAATATGTAACTAAATTTACATGTCTACCTGAAAGTTCATGATAGTTATTCATTCAGATTCTAGTGTTATATCAATTTCTCTAGTTATTATTAATAAATTGCTCATTCTATGATGCTGATTGTTACTATTTTTGTTTCTCTTTCATTTAATGTAACTATTTAACTAATCTATTTGTTCATCATCCTCATCATCATTATCATACATTATCAGTTGAGAATATTCTGGTTACCATGGGAATCTCATGTTTCTATTTATCTGGATGAATCCTTTTTCACATGAATTTCAACTTCGTTAGTCGAGGTAAAAAAAATTCTTCTCTCTTGTCCTTCCTAAACTCACCTTCAGCCTTCAAAGTTCTGATCAAAGTGATAGAACTTTTTTTCCAACTAGCATCTCATGCATGAACATTCAGACAGAATCATGGAAATGATAACATGGTAATAGTTGCATTTCAAGTGCTACCAAACAAGGAAGTTGAAGTGATAGAGAGAAAAAAAGTTCCATCACAAAAATTGAATGGAAAAGTGTTGTTAAAGTGTCACTAAAACTGTGACATGAAATTCAGAAAATTGTGACGAAACATTGAAATTAGAATTTAATGTGAAAAACATGATAAAACTCTAAAATATTAGGAGAACTTTGATTATTCATAGAACTTTGTTTCGTTTTTCTTTGTTATCAAATACATAAAAACAAGATTCGAAACTAAAACTTTATCTTTTCCTCGAACTTGTTTGACTCGATGATAAGTATCAATCGACCAGAGAACTGGTAATGTTTATACTTGCTGATCTCTTGCCATTTAACTGGGTCAAGATTCAGATGATTGATAATTTGTCAAGTTACAAGAACAATTATCATGAATTTTTGAACAGTTCGATGAGGTTTTTTGATAAAAGAGAATATATTTTGACAGGGAACATGAATTATTATGATTTATATAAAATAGAAACTATCAGATGAAGATAAATTGAGAAGACAAGGAAGACAAAGTAAGAGGGTATTAATATATATTTAATAAGAAGATAAACTTAAAACTTGTAAGTTAATCTCTAAATGATACAGAACTAAAAGTGAGATGGATTAAGATTTTAATCCAATACCAATGTAAATATAAGAAGGGAACTTTTCATTCACATGTAACCTGATCTATTGATGTGCTAGATGACAAGCTAACAAATGATGACAGTAAACTTAGATTATCATGATGAGAAGGTGAAAGATTTTCATGATGAATGAAACCTGATGAACTTTCTTTGTAAGAAATTAAAATTTTCCTGTCTGAATGAAATTTCCTACTGATTATTCAATGTCATGCAATGTAGATAATGATGGAAACTTATTCAATCTTTATCGTTTACAATTGATATTATTTCTCCTGTCTCTTCATTTTAACTTCCTGAGCCTTCAATTTT